GTAGTTTACTAATTTCATTTTCTTAGTTAATCCCAGCTCCCGAGAATAGACGCCCTAAATAAAAAAAAACATTACTTCTTTCACGGCCAAATACTATCGGTTATTCGGCCAGGAAGCCTGCAGAATTTCTGGTATTCAGCGTGAGGCCGAATGTACTATTATTCTTAGCGAGTCTTATCATAACGTTAATTTTTTTTAAATATATTATTATAACGTTTAAGTAATTACCGTTGTGATATATTTTTATTTTTAACTGGCCGTTTATCGTACGACGTAATAATGTCAAAATGTTCTCTTGGAGTAACTTAACGTACCGTGTAGTGGCGGTGTAGGAATATCCAATACCCCGTATCGGATAGAGGCGAAAGGGGGAAATTGAAACAGGTGATGTGCAGCATCATCTTCCTGATAACAACTCAAAATAATAAAAAAACTGCGGTTGCCAACCTGCCTGCACAGTAAGCGTGGCAACTGTGGCAAAATCCCGCCTATGAGGCAATCTATGGGGCCGACCTATGTTCAGCAGTGAAGTTTTATAGGCTGTAATGAATGGAGTGTAAGTGAGCCGCTGTAGCTCAGAAGTAAGGCGCTCGCCATAGTACTTAAGCAACACGTTGGTGTTCGACGATGGATGAAAACATCGTGAGAAAACCTGCATGTTCGAAAATTAAAAATTAAATATTTTGTAGACATGTCAAGTCCGCATCACGCATTGGAGCACACTACATAACTACATAATAAAGAGAACTCTTTTGCCTGTGTCTCTATTTGAGCAAGTATAGTAAAAATTACATTGCGAAAGTACATATAAAATTGCAAGTTTTATATAAAGTTATTTTATTATTATAAAAAAACTTCAAGGAGAACATCAGTAATATTAGAAAGGAATCAACTGAAAACGATAATAGCCCCTGGTAATGAGGTGATCGCTACCAAGCTTTTTTTTTAAATTAGTTTTGTGTTGTTAATTGTGAAACATATCAAATGGTTTTTAACCGGTATTATTCAAAAAGATGTCCTTTCTTGTTTGTTATTTTTAAGACAGAGATATTTTCCGAACCAGTGGTGATTTGACTTTTAATAAATATTTATTATATTTATGTACATTGAATAAGATTCTATTTCCCTACTTTGTATATCATGATCATGAAGACAGTTAAAAGTACGTTATTATTACAAATAGTTTTCGACATAGTCTGGAGACACTTTTTTACAAATTGAACAAAACAGAAAAATCCAAATACTTCTTTTAGAAAATCTCTAACAAGTTGGGCGTGTTCATTTGACAAATTACTTTTTAATGTCTTTTCGATTCGAACTGGAATTCAGGTTCGCTTTTTTCTGCCTTTTGTCGAAAATGTAATGGATTTGAATGGCTAATGCTCCTTTAACATTACACATATTCCTCGAGATAAAAAAAAATAATGTAAATAAACACTCGCGCCTGTCACCCAGAGGGGTAGGCAGAGACTACGGACTTCCAGGTGGCACGCGCCTGACATACCTCTGGCGCCTACTGTACATCCATATATCTACGCATACATGCTCGTCGGTTAAGGGTACTTCTAACGTGGCCCATTTTCAAACTATCCCAATTTGGTCTAACTCTAGGCGTCCTTTCCCGACTCTGCGTTTCTGCATATAAATTGTTTTCTTTATTCATTCTTTCTACATGACCAAACCACCGAAGTATTCCTTTCTTAATCCTGGTCACAACATCATCTTGCATACAACATTTATCTCTTATCACGCAATTTCTCACCCCGTCATTCAGATGCAACCCTAGCATACTCATTAAAGACCGCATTTCTACAGCATTTATTGTACTTTAATGCTTCTTCTACCACACCCAGCTTTCACTATCATACATTAAAGTAGGGACTATCATAGAATTATGAATTACCATACGTGCCTTTTTTGAACATTCTGGTTCTTCATAATAGAGTGTAGTGCCCCATTCACTCTATTCCCCGCATTTACTCGTTGTTCTATATCCTTATCATATCTATCATCCCTGCTAAATACACATCCCAAATACACAAACTCATCCACTTTCTCAATCAACTCTCCTTCTATTCTTATTTCACATACCGTTTTGCTTTCTTCTCTTTCAAAAACCATCATTTTCGTCTTACTTGCGTTCACTTTCATTCCCCTTTCTTTTAATATCCAGTTCATTAATATAACTATTATTTGCAACTCAGCCGCCGATGACGCAAATATGACTTGATCATCGGCATACAAAAAGCATTTGACGCCAGGTCCAGATATTATTATTATTAATATATATAATAATAATAATAAAATTATTATTAATAATTTTATTATTATTATTATTATGGGGTATCTATATAGTTTTCTCATCTGGTTGGGTTCTATAAATATATAATTATAAATGAAAATGAAAAGATAAATATACATAAATATCAATAACATAAAATAAATATAAAAGTACATAAATAAATAAAAGCCCAACCAGATGGAGGCCCTCGGCAGGGGAGACCAAACGGCCGAGGGTTAGGGGGAAAGGGAAAGAAACCGGCGGACGATGCGGGCGGTATCGAGGAGCACCGCCTTCTGCATTTGAACCTGGAGCGGTCCGCCACGTAGTCCCAGCCGCCTCAGATGACCCGAGAGGCTGACTGGGATTAGCCCGTTTGCAGAGACGACTACAGGAATAATTTCGGTCGGCAGACCACCCCACATGTCGGTCACCTCGTGAGCCAGGTCCAGATATTTTGTTTGCTTGTCTGTTTCGGCTTTCACGAGGTTCTCGTCATACGGAATGGTAATGTCGACCAAAAATATCCTTGACTGTGCCCGGTCCATCAGCACAATATCAGGCTTATTCGCAAGAATAGTCCTGTCTGTGATGATGGCCCGGTCTCAATAGAGCCTGGCGCGATCATTTTCGAGCACGGCTTCCGGCAAGTACTTGTAATACGGCAATTTCCGGTCCACGAGACCGTATTTCAGAGCGAGCTCCTGGTGTAGAATTCTGGCTACTAGGTTGTGCCTGTGCAAGTACTCAGAGTTAGAAAGCGCCGAACAACCGGAGATAACATGCCTAAGTGACTCACCGGGATGGCGACAAGCTCGACAGATGTCGACGGTGCCATCCTTTAGGATGTATCTTCGATAGTTGTTGGTCTTAATAACCTGATCCTGTATTGCACAGACAAAACCCTCGGTTTCCCCCCGAAAAGGTCACCAAAGCGTAGCCAGTGGAGGGAGGCTACTGTGTCTACGAAAGGCTCATGTAGAGCCTTGTAGAACCTCCCGTGGAGCTCCTTCTCCTTCCATACGGTCTCTCGGTCGGAAATGCTCTGCACTGCCGGGTCTTGCCATTGCTCGTTGGCTAAGGATAGAGGGGTAAGTCCTTTATCACAAGAAATGACGTCCTTATAGAATGGATCATCCGATCTCGCCAGGAAGTAATCACGGAGGCTGCACACTTCGTGATTATGCATGGTGAGCGCGCTCAAGAAGCCACGACTACCATGCTTCCGCGACAAGTACAGCCTCATTACCGACGATCTCGGATGATGCATCCTATGGGACGTCATGGTAGTGCGGACTTTTATATCCAGGGCGTTAAGTTCAGTCTGAGTCCACCTGAGTGTGCCAAAGGTATACATGAGGACAGGCATGACCCAGCCGTTATATGCGTGTGCCTTATTGACACCGGACAAAAGGCTGTTAAGCACTTTGGTCAAGCGTGCATAAAACACGTCGCAAACTGACTGTTTCATACCAGTCTCATCGATACCGATGTTTTGTGACATACCCAGGTATCGGTATGTTTCAGCCTCGGAAAGGGTCCTTAAGTTGACGGGCATAGATAAGTCTACGCCCTCAGAGTTAGCAACCCTTCCCCTTTCAACATGGAGGACCGCACAATTATCCGTCCCAAGCTCCATTCCAATGGAATTGCTAAATTCACAAGTGATGTTTAGCAATTCCATAAGATGGGAGCGACTGGAGGCGAATAACTTGAGGTCATCCATATAGAAAAGGTGGGTCACTTTTGTCCCTCCTCTCCGTAGCTGAAATCCCCTCCCGGAGCCCTCCAGTAAGGTACTGAGAGGGATTAGAGAGAGGCAGAACCAGATTGGACTCAGACAATCGCCCTGGAAGATACCCCTTCTTATCCTTATGTGGTTCTCCGCAGCCATCATCCGCTCGCCCAGATGACAAAGGATCGTACTCCACTGCCCCATACACTGCTCGAGGAAGTCTCTAACTGTACAGCCAATATTGTACAGCTCGAGGACTCTCTTTAGCCATGTATGGGGCACCGAGTCGAATGCCTTTCTGTAGTCTATCCAGGCGGCGGAGAAGTTCCGACGGTTGCGTTTCACCACTTTGCCAATGACCGCGTCAATGAGGAGTGGTTCCTTGGTTCCACGACCACCGCCCCGACATCCATTTTGAGCGCGCGACATCACCTGATTTGAGTCCAGGTGACAAGTGATTCTCGCGCTCAAAATGGATGTTAGTGTCTTGTATATGGTCGGTAGACACGTGATGGGGCGGTATTTGCTCGGGTCTGTGGTACCCTGGTCTTTAGGAACCAAATGAGTGATCCCAGTAGTGAAGAGGCTTGGGAGCGACTTCTGGTTGAGAGCCTCTTGAAACTGTCGGGCGAGCACAGAGTGACACACCATGAACCCCTTCAGCCAGTAGTGATGCAGCCCGTCAAGCCCCGGACTTTTCCAGTTCGGGGCCCTACGGACCTCCTCAGCTACGTCATCCGGCGTTATGATGACGGGGTCCATCGGCATAATACCCGCACACTGACTCGCCACAACTTCCGTCCAAGGGCCCTCGCTGTGGTTTACGGGCTCTGACCACAGGCCGCGCCAGAATGCTACAGTGTCGGCCTGATTCGGTGCTGGATCCGTTCCACTTACCATTAGTCGCTCCAATGATTCATAGAGCCTCTTCTGATCACACTGGAAGAGACGATTCTGGTTGAACCGTGTCGACCTCTCGGTATATCACCGAATCCGCTTTCCCGAAGCATCGATTCTCTGCTTCAGATCATCTATGCGCTCCGTCAGTTTTTGCGTTATATCCGGCTGGGACAAACTGACATTTGTCCCAGCAAACGCCATCCTGACGGTGCGCACAATTCTTGGCCTGTTGTTGCCTGATCTGAAGCATATCAGTCTGCCGATGAGAGCTCTAGCCTTTGCGATACGTTCCTCTATTCTTCTTCTCCATGCTGGGATAGCGCTACTATGGCCAGTAGCGCGTCCAGCCGTGGAAACCTTGGCGCCTATGATACGGCAGACTGCCAGCGCGGCGCCAAAAAGAATTGAGTCCGTCTCGCAAAGGTCCCGGCTGGCTTCCAAATAGGTCACCAGCATTGGGTTCAGAGCCCTCAGCCCAGCCCGATTCCGCTTGCTTAGGGCTATGCGGGGAAGTCGCGGTCGATTTTCGAGAGGCGTACTGCGCGTTTCTATAATCGCCTCTTCCAATGTACTCCTCATATGCTCTAATTCCAGTTCCTGGGCGACTGTTCCATCATCGTTTGAATCAACCGCAACTGGGGTATTCACGGCGGCAATCCACGTTTGCGGGTTACTCTACCATTTGTGGCGCCGCATCCTCAGCCGTAGCATTCTCATCCGACGAGAGAACAGCCTCACGTCGTAGCCGTTCGAGTTCGGCGACATCAAATATATTTGAGCGCAAGATATACCGAACTCGGTCTGCCAGGTTTTGCTCTGTGACGGTTAAAGATGGCTCCAGCTCAGCAAAAAGACGATGCATCCTAGCCCGATACGCCAAACATCCAGTTTCTCCCCCTTTCGCCCTAAAATACGCCCGCAATGCGTTGCTGTTCATCTGGGTTGTCCAACGCATGCGGCGTACTCCACCAGAGGCGGGTGCCGATTGCTGGGCCCGCGAAGACCCTGCCGACACCAAGCCAGCTGGTGGGGATCACCAGGGGCTGCTGGGTGGTCGTGCAGCACCTCGCGCTCGGCTGGCGGTTCGCATGCTGCCGCGTCCAGCGCCAGCTCCAGACGCGCCCTGGCGACCTCCAGGCAGCGGCCCTTTGCGCGTTCTTCCGTATTCCATCATCCATAGTGGTGGGCGTCATTTAGCGGGAGACGCCCAGACCCGGCGCCGTTTCATGGTGAGGCCATGTGCACAAGCGGGCCTTTGCACCTTCAATTTTTGCCGAGGCACGGCACTAACACCTCTTGGCAAGGTGCTGACTGACTGCGCTGACGTAGCGGTTTTGTCACATAACCGTTACGTCAGCGGGCGATGGGGTCGTCACTTCCCTACGCCTTTTTATTATTATTATTATTGTTATAATATATCTTACTTTCTAGCGTTAAAAAAAATATCATCCCTTAGGTGTCGTAAATGGGGGCTGGGGTAAATATATCGGGAGAAGGGCAGAAGCATCTTCCTGAAAACAATTCAAAATAATAATAAAAAAAACTGTGGTTTGCAGCCTTGTTGCCAAGCAAGGCAACTATGGCAGATATCCTCTGTATGACGCTATCTATGTAAGAGGCCAATGTTCAATAGTGCTGATAGGCAGGATTTAAGTATGTCTGTCAAAAACAAAAAAATTTCCGTCGAAATGACTATAGATAACACAAACACAATCGACATATTTTTAAGAATATAATTGATGTAGGATGCTTCTTTAACACTTTATAATAATTAAAGCTAAGTGATATGCACGGCAAATCCTATGTCAATTAATAAAGCCGACCAAACTGTGTTGATAATATATTGATTTATTAATTGATTGTATGATATAATTTGCCAGATCATAACCATCAGCAACACAAACAAACTCGAAGTCTTTTTTTAAATTTTATTAAAAATTAAAAAAATATATTTCCAACTGGTGATCCGCTCCGACTTTGGCTGGATATCATCGAAAGTCGGGGTATATAATAGGGTATGTAATATTAAAGTGTTTAACAATATTATCAATATCTCGTTTACTTTCCAAAATAAAATCGCACGTTTACACTAGCTTTTATTACAAAGTAGGTGCAATATTGTATTTATTGTCGACTAAATATCATTCAGAGCACAACTAAACTTACGTGGTAGAGCTATGCCGCAGCTATATTAGTAGTATAGTTGTAGCATGAATGAGTCGACTCGGCAGTGGTAGGACCACGCTCTCACAGAATATTAGCGTAAAATAGCAGCTCAACGCTGCTGTGTTTCGTATGGTGAGTGCAGATAACCGCAGACCCTTTTTACTGGAAACGAGGATTCCACCTTAGTCCTCACGGATGAAACGCATCTGCGTTTTGATTCGTAATCGAGGATAGATGTAGATGTCTATGGGCCACAGCACCCAATTGCAATCAGGTGGACTGTGTGCTCGCTTGTCACCCTTATCCTATAAAAAACTGAAAGGCTAATTGAGATAGTTAACTACGACATATACTCCGTCGATAATGCTCCACGAATTTTGCTTCTAAACGAAGCATTATCATATTTTTTTCAGGAGTAGAAAACTGGATAATAATTACGCATAATTTATTTCACTCATTACACCATTTCAGAAGTCCACTGCTGAACATATGGCTACCATATAGATTGCAACAAAGATACGAAATGGTTGAAATGTGTACTAATATATATTAAATAAAGGGACTTTCAATAGGGGCGCTCGAACTTTGACAGTGTATAGCGGCTATCTTGGTAATGCCATAGCTGTTAAATTTGACAATAATACTTATTTTGTCTTAGTATTTCACCATGGAACGCCACACGCTTCAACAACGCGTTGAAATTGTTAAAAGTTAGTATCAAAATCAGCGCTATGTTCGCATAACGTTCCGTGCGTTGCGTCCAATTTATGGCGTTCTTGACCGTCCTGCAGAGTTCACATTCCGTTGTTTAATTAATAAATTTGAGACAACCGGGTCAGCGATCGATGAAGCAATGCCTGAAAAACAAAGAAACGTGCGATCGTTGGAGAATATTGTTAGCGTTCGAGTCAGTGCCCAAAAAGACTTCATTCAACTCAAGAGCAAAAACTCAACGACCACAGATAATGCAATGTACTCGCTGATTAGGCTTTAGAGCGTTTGGCTGCTTACTCAGCTTTCGGTAAAAAAAATCATCTTTAGTGATGAGGCTCGTTTTTCTGGTTGAATGGTTTTGTTAACATACAAAACTGGATTTGGAGCGACGACATTCCAAGAAAGATTCATCAGGTGCCTCTAGACTCCGAAAAAGTAGTTTTTGGTCCAGAGGAGTCTTCTACCTTATTTCTTCAAAAATACGCAAAGAGCTGCGCTTACTGTCAATGGGGACCAATATTGGATATATGATGATAACAAATTCTTTGTGACGTAGGATAGATGGTATGTAACTTACAAACATGTGGTTCCAGCAGGACGGTGCCACTTGCTATACTGCACGGGAAACATTGAATTTATTGGATTTGATAAGTTCGAGGGCTTTGTTATCTCGCGTGAAGGCATCTATGCGAACAAAATACAGAAAAATGCCGCCCTACAGGCCAACATAACTCGCGTTTTTAGACATCTTCGAATAAATGGGGGTCAAAATTGCTGTCTGACGATATTATGGACTTTGGTGATATTATTACAAAGGTTAACAAAGCTCTGAGTTTTATATTAAGGTTATCGGGTGATTTTAAAAACATACACATTTTCAAAATTTTGTCCAATTTAAAACAAAAACAAACAAAAATAAAAAAAAAACGTATATACCCAGCTACACTCTTCGATGTAAAAACTTTCACATACTTACTTCCTTTATATGAGCGAAGAAATATATGATCTCTCTTTCTTTAAGAATGTGAACGGAAATGTTGATTGTCCTGAACTACTACATACGTCTACGTACATACTCATTTGCAGAAATTTGCTTTTATCTGTACCGTACCTGAAAAGTAATTACAGGCAAAACTCCTTTATTATTCGATCATGCATATCTTTGAATGCTAAGGCACATATTCATTACGTAGATATTGATTTTTTACATTCCAGCGTTCTCTAACTTAGGCGTTCACTTTCTAATAACTTCTTTTCTTTTTGATAATGTATTTTATACTTAAGTGTAACTGTTAATTGACCTATACTCGTATATCTCTTCTGACGCACTCGTGTTTTATTACGTTTTTTATAAGTGAAAACTTTGTAAATGGCCTTTATTTTTGTTAACTTTATATTATTTTTGTAAATTAGCTGCAGCAAAATAAAATAAAATAAGATAAGATGAAATTAGTCATTAGAATAAAAATGAATTTACTTTGTCTGATAGTAAAATTGTAAAAGTATCGTCTATGTACCGCAGAACCTTGAGGTAACAAGTGCAGTATTCGGTGACAATGGGAGATACAGGTGAGCCCATCGCAACAATATGCATGTAAAACTCTTCCTTCTACAATAGATAGCCAGATGTAAGGCAATGTGTGAGCAGTACTGCATATCGATGGGTCCTATGTATATAGGCCAAAGTAACAACTTAGTCATTTTCACTTTTTGGTACCTACAGCGGAATCGCGGCGGAAATATGGCTGAAATTATTTTCTCTGTACACAATGTTCTTTAAAATAAAATAAAAATTGTGGCAACATTACTTTATATAGGTTGTTTTATTTCATTTCAAAGTTCGAGCGCTATTAATGAAAAACCCTGTAAATCTATACATAAAAATAAAATTGAAGTGTCTGTCTATAATATCGAAATCACTGCCTTAATTGAGATGATTGGGTTATTTGCATGCCATTAAGAAGTTTAAACATTTTCTGTCTGTCTGTTTGAGCTAATGTTCGGAATGGCTGAACCAATTGTAGTGAAACTTCAATACCAGAAGTAATTATGGTTGTACATTGTACAAAAATTTTGAAGTTCTTTCGAATCAAAATATTACGAAATTAAATGGTCTTTGATGATTATTTTAAATCTAACTAACGCTATATTAATCGATATTACCGAGGCGAAGCCGGGGCGGGTCGCTAGTCTTAAGTAAAAGTAGATTATATGACTTTATTTAAAGTGAATATCAAGCGATAAAGCGCTTGGAGCTCTTAAAGCGCTAGTAAACTACTGAGCCACCACAGCTCTTATTATTATTAAGTATCGGAATTCGGTTCAAATTAAACGAAAACCGCGCTGTTGTTAAACTCCCGTAGAAATAGTCAACATCACTTGTTTGTCGAACTTTAATCACTACTACGTTTACATTGCTTCGTCAATCCTCGGGTGATGTAAAATATACCTACGTGCCTTCTGATAAGGTTCACTGTGAATATTTAATTAAAAGAAGTTGCCTATTGCTATTGTACGTAAAGCTACCAATCAAACAGGCGCGATTGATTTCATGCAGTTTTAGACGTAATTACAGACTTTTCAACAAAATTGATTCTGATGTAGGGTGAGTGCTATTAACCATGATAGGAGAGGGGGAATACTAAAGGGTAAAGCGATAAAAATTTAACTATTTTTATACTTCATGATTCCGGCCATTTTGACTGGTTTCGTTAGACTCTTTGGGTTTTTCTGTCAAGAAATTCTCAATAGCAGTCCGGAGCGATTCCCAGAAAGATAGCGATGTTTCACCCGTTTCATCCCTGTACCTCAAAAAGTCCGTAAAGCCGTTGTTCCTACATCTGATTTCCTGGGTAGTGTATTTTGGGTGGCCATCCTGACGGCCTGTGAGAGTGAGGGAATATAGCAAGTGACCCTGAGTCTTTGTTGAGACTGACTAACCTGATTGAAGTTCATTCTAGATTACATTATTTTTTTTAAGTA